TTCAGCCTCTCTCAGTGCTTGAACACTGTATAACTCTTTTTGTTAAAAGACTTCTTATAAAACTCTGCAATAGCAGTTTAAATTGGAAATACGATATTTAGTATGCGGTATTATTATAACTTTTAATAGTTTTATTATAAATAATAAAATAGCGTGGCCTATATTAAGAATAAGCTTTTGCCAGATTTCCTTGTACATGTTTATTTGAAAACTAAAACAAAACTCTTCAATCTAGAGAAAAACCATTATAAACATGAGAACATTTTTTTTTTCTGGAGTCATGCATTTATTTCTGCAGTGGGTGATGTGCTCCTTGCCAGGATATGGAGATGAGATCTGGCAGCCTTAGTCAGCCTCTTCTTGTGGTGCTTTGCACAATGTCACATCCTGATTTAGAAAAACAGACCATAAAGGAAGCCAGTGACTATAGCCATGCAAACTAGAGCACGGCACAGGAACTCTGAGGTGGGAGGGGAGAGGGTTTTTTTAAAATTCAACCCAGACTCTACAAGTCTTTAGTGATAAATTTCTGGGTTATGTCCATTGATTTGAGAGGTGCATCAAAATAGTTAAACAATAGTATCAGAACTTAGCATTGATACTATTTGGATTTTTAACTTAGTTATTAGTTTAGTTATTTAATCTCCTTTTTAGGTAGTGACAGTATACTTAAGGGTGCAAAGGATATAACATGATCAAAAGAAGAGTTCCTCTGAAGAAAGCTGCTTTTGCTTTTTATAGCTCTGGAGTCTAGGGGAAAAAACACTTTAAATAAATTGCTTTTTAAAAAATACCCTCCTAGGGCCAGGGATATAGCTCAGTGGCACAAGTGCCTGCCTCTCACAAAGCCCTGAGTTCAATACCCAGTACAAAAATAAAAACAAATAAAAAATATCCTCCTAGACCTTATTTACTGAAAAGCTGCTCACTTACACATTCAGTTAAATCTTAAAATTTAGCTACACCAAAAATGAAACGCAAATGAAAACCATATCAGCTACCAATTTTCATCTGTCAGATTGGTAAAAATTCTCTTCTGTTGTTTTTTTTTTAAAGATAGAGACTTGCTGTGTAGGGACTTGAGGTCATTGCATAGCTCAGGCTGGCCTTGAATTCACAGCGATCCTCCTGCCTCAGCCTCCAAAGTGCTGGCATTACAGGCATGCACCATCATGTCCAACTAAAAATGTAAAATTTGAATATTATGACAAGACTTTGGGAAATGGGAGCTCTGATCCCTTGCTGATGAGAGTGCAAAATGCTGTTAACTTTCTGGAAGGCAGTTGACAACATCTGTCACATTGCAAGTAGATTTTTCTCTTTGATCCAGCAATCTCCCTTTTAGGAACTTTATACAAATATAACATTTCATGTATATGCAGTGTAGGTATAATTTACAAGAATGTTACAGAATCATTTGTAACAGCAAAATCTTTGGGAACAACCCCAGTTCATCTATAAGGAACCTGTTTAAAACACACATGTGCAGAGTGGAATATAATGCAGATATTTAAACAAATAAAGGCTCTTCTCCACATACAATACAAAGAGATCTCAAGGGATCTTGTAAAAGGAGAGAGGAAGGTGAATGTGTATCATACTCCCCAATTATGTGAAAAATAGTGTGTTTGTATGTGCTTGTGTTGTATGTTTACTCAGGTTATATAAGATAAATGGTTACCTGTAAAAGAATGGTAGGTGGGGCAAAGGCAAAAACTAGATGGGAAAGAGACTTCTCTGTGTACCTTTTTGTGAGTTTTAATTTTTGTACCACATGAACTTTACACCTTATCAAAATTTTATTTTAAAAAATAATTTCTTCTGAACAGATTTTTCCCCCAGTGTTTTGAAAGGTATGCAAAGATTATGTCACAGCAAGAAACAAATTTAGAATAAAGAAAATTGTTTAATTCCATTTTCCTCGTACATGAAATGTGCTGCCTTAGGGATCCCTTTGTAGATGAGCCCATCTGCATAATCTGGTTGTCCAAAAGAGCACACATTAGTCAGCCACAGTCTTTAGGTAGAGACTTAGCAAAGAGCCCAAGTGGACCACCGACCCCTTCTCCTCTCCCTTTGCTGACTGAAATATTAGGAAAAGATAGCTGTTCACATGAGGGGCTGTGCAATGAATTCTTGGGGGGGTTATGTATATAATTGATTATATTCATTATATTCATCTGCTTTTTCTCATAATTACAATTGTAACCAAATTGTTACACCATCTCACAGACTTTGCCATTGACAGCAGAAAAGTCTTTGCCGGTCTGAGGGTGTAGCTCAGTGGTAGAGCTTTTGCCTACCATGTGTGAAGCCCTCACTTGATTCTGTCCCCAGCAAAAAGAAGGAGGGTAGTGGTGCTGTGTGTTGTTTTTTTAAAAAAATTTTTTTTGTCCTCACTGAAATTTTTTTTGGCAGGGGGGTGGTACTGGGAATCGAACTCAGGACATTGCATTTGCCAGGCAGGCGCTTGTGCCACTGAGGTATCTCCCCAGCCCCTTTAAAAAAATTTTTAATTGTGGAAATTTTCATACATAGAAAGTGGAGAGTATAACAAACTTCCATGTACCTGTTTTAGTTTAATAAAAGGCTGTTTTATGCCTTGGGGCGGGGGCAGCTAGCCTTCTGTTTTATTTTCCCTAAGTATTTTATTTTCCCTGAGTGTTTTAGATTTTAAATCTTACAAAGGCGTCTGAGCAAAAGCAACTCATGAATAGAGGCAATCAGTTCCACTGAGTGAGAAAAACTTTTTCATGGTATTTTTGGTGGCAAGACAGAAAATATTTGATTCGTTAACATGGAAAGCCCCTAGTTAGAGATGGTTTCTGATAGGTTAATTTCCTGAGTAGAGTCTCAGCTTGCTCAAATTAGAGCCATCTCAGCCTAGCAGCCTTCCAATTAAGTTTTGTAACCCATCCATAAATACTTGAGGATGTATCTGTAATAACTAAGGGTCTAAAAGTGACCTTATAGACCACAACATCTTACCATGAAAATTTACTATATACCTTTTGAAAGATTAGAGGAAACTTAGCATCCTCTTTTGCATTCCTTTCTTTCCCCTAATTTCCACTTAGCATACCAAAAAAAGTTGTGTGTCTCCCATGTTCATAAAACACATATTTTAAAACTATGTGTTTATTTCCTTAACTTCTCAACCAATTTTCATCTGACATCTATCACTCCACTAACACTGTTCATGTCAGGATCACCAGCCAATCCATGTGAGATCCAGAGGACATTTGTTTTTATTCTACATCATCTTTCAGCAGCATTCAAAACAGAAGACCTGCCTCCTAAAGAAAACAGTAAATGTTAATTGAGTATTTACTATCTTCTTCATGTGAATTACATTGAGGAGGCAGCACTAGGGATTGACCCAGGGCCTTTTACTTTTTTGAGACAGGATCTTACTAAGTTGCTAAATTGCCTAGGCTGGGCTCAAGCCTGCATTCCTCCTGCCTCAGACTCCCAGAATGCTGGGATTAAAGGCATGTGCCTTCATTTGATTCTTTCACAACTCTTTGGATGTGGTTATCCCCATTTTACAAATGCAAAAAGCTAAATTTTAAGTTAAATAACCAACCTAGCTGTTCAGTGATTAGATTCAAGGGATTCGGTTCAGGCACCATTCAGTTCTGCTGCATTTTGGAAATCCCTGCTATTCTGGATTTTCTTTCTTTTTCTCAGTTTTATTTTGGTTTTCTTTGCAGCTCCTATTCCTACCTGATCTTTAAATTTGGAGGTTTCTCAGGACTTGATTCTTGGTCCTCTTTCTACTGCTGTGAGGCATGAACACCCACATCTATGGCTTGTTTTTTAGAAAGTGATCTTTACTTTCTAAAAGTGAAGACTTGTTGATGCTAATTTATACTTTTTTTCTTAAAGACGTGTAGAAGGTTGTGAGCTCCCCGTAGGTAGCTTTAGCTCAGAGCTATATTCAGTTGTCTCCTCATACATTTACAACTTCGAATCTTTTCCTCCTGTGCTCTCCTGTCTTTTTCTTTGCTAAGTGAAACAAATACAGATGTTGAGTGGAAATGTTGGAGTCGTCCCTATTTCCTGCACTTCCTAGTTCCTATAAACAGTCACTGTTCATTGTGTCTTACATGTCCTAATTCATCTATCTTCCTAGGAAAGTTCTTTACATGCCATTCTTAGATAAGGGTCCACCTAATTTTTTATAATATCCTATATTTGTCTTTCTCCTCTTTTTAACATTTTGTACATGTACAATGATACTTTGGTTAATTTTTATTTTCATTCCATTAGAAAATATTTTGAGGCAGGAAGCAAGGCTCTGTTACTTGTGTTACTCCAATAGCTAGCAAAGTGCCTGGCATTTAGGCATCATTAAATATTTGTTGAATTAAAACAAATGAAGAGATGTATTCCATAGGATGGGTGGTGTGAAAGATGAGCTCATGGAGATAGACTTAAAAATAAGCTCTCCAGTAGTCACAGCCATAGAAAGGAGCTGCAGGACTGGGAGCTGTAGAGGAGCAGTGGTATGAAAATTGCAGAACTCATCTACTCTGGTCACATGTGGAAAGTAGGAGTAGTGGGTGTCAAGAATAAAACTATTTCTTAAGAAGATCAGGTATGAAGGGAAAAATAACGACTAGTTTTAGACCTGCTGGCTTTGGAGAGTCAACAAGATAATCAGTAGACAGAAAAATAGAAATGGTATTTGAGTAAAATACTATTAGTCAATTCTAATGTAAATTGATAAAAATTTAACTATCAAGACTTTTTGTCATGGGTGTAGATTTGGTAGCTATTTTAATACTTTTAAATTGGGAAATGTTATAAATATACATTGTATATCACACAGAGATGGATTACTAACTGAACTCTATTCATCTTAAACCAGCAAGTTTCCTTTTAATTGTTATTTGCTAATGCTAATTTAAACTTTTTTCTTAAAGACATAGACTGTAAAGTAAGTTCCATGAGGACTTGCTGCATGTAGTTTAATTTTTTTCTTCTTATTTCTCTAGGGCCTATTCCCTGGTGGATTCCAGTCAAGTGTCTACATTTCTGATATCCATTCTTCTTATAGTCTACGGTAGTTTCAGGTAAGATGTTCTTAAAATGAGGCTGATTTCAGTTTGAGGAAGAAGCAGCATTGCTCTGAAAGTGTTGGCACCAAAACTATTCTGCAAAGAGAAACAGAACTGTGGTGGATTTGAGTTACAATGGGATACATTTCATATTTATTCTTTAGTTTGCTGCTGGTAAATGCTTCTTGGTTTTGTTTATGACTTTAGCATATTAATGCAAACATGGAAAAAAATAGTTTAAAATTCTGATCTGGAAATAATGACGCCCCTAAGAGCACTGATTATTGGGAAGATTACAGAGAGGTTCTGTGTGTGTGTGTGTGTGTGTGTGTGTGTGTGTGTGTGTGTGTGTGTTTTGGTTGGTTTTTGTTGTTGTTGTTTTTTTCTTCCCGTACCAGGAATCGAACTCATGACTTTGCGCTTGCCGGGCAGGCGCTGTGCCGCTGAGCTAAATCCCCAGCCCCACAGAGAGGTTCTTGACAGTAATTGTAATTTTAGAGAGAACAAAAAATTTAAATGGAAGGACAATTCAGAATAAGAAAAAATTACTAAATACCCATGTAAGATAAATGGTCCAGATCAAAGTGCAGATGGAAGGCGTAAGTAGATTTGGAAGGATGAGGGAAACCAAAGTAAAACCTCACCCAAGAAGCTAGTAAAGTTCTTTAACTTGTCCTGAATGCTTTTAAATAGTTAAATTATATACTTACAGAAATTTACTTAATATTTTTCTTAACAAAGGTGTTGACATAGGTTGAGCCATGCAAAATTGCCATTAGTACTTTTTTCTTGACCCACAGAAACAATTTTATAAGGTTCAGCCTGTTATTATTACAGTTGAGCATGGTGGCATTACCAGGTATTTCCCTGCTGACCTTACAAATGCTTGAGATAGGATCCTGGTGCAATTCTCATCCTAGCAGGAAGCCATAGGAATAGAAAGAAAATCAAGAAGTGAGATACTTCCTTCTTTCCACTACCTGTAGTTAAGAGAGGAGCTTTAGTGGTTGGTATAATTCATATAGTTTTGTATATGACACTTAAAAATGAAGGCTGCTTCAGTTGTTTTGTTTTGTTTTTGCAGTACTGGGTATTAAAACCCAGGGACTCCAACGTGCTACAGGCAACTGTTTACCACTGAGCTACTGTATATCCCCGACCCTTTAAGAAATTTTAAGTTTGAGAATTTGAAAGGGACTAAGAGTGATGAGTGAAATAGCCAGGCAGGAGGACTTTGAATTATCCATCTAGAACTATCTAGATGTCTAGATTTTAATGAGTACTTTTTAGAATCACAAACTTGCAGTCTTTACTTAACAATCAGTAAATCAAGAAAAATACTCTTGAAATAAACTAATCAGAGTTTTTTTTTTTTTTTTTTTTGGTTTTTCTCCGGTACCAGGAACCGAACTCACAACCTTGCGCTTGCCAGGCAGGTGCTTTGCCACTGAGCTAAATCCCCAGCCCTGTAAACTAATCAGAGTTTTAATGACTCGGGTCTCTGCTTGAGAACCCTGTGTTTATGACCACTCTTAGCAGAAATCAAGCCAAAACAATTTAGAACTGTACCAGTGTGATCTTTGTATCTCTACTCTTAATATTTTTCTTATTTTTCCTCATTGGATATATTATGTATAAACATTTTTTAAAAGATTTTGTAATTAAAAACACAAAAGGTAATACTTTGTGTATGCGCACCTTACCACTGAACTAAATCCTTTGACCCTCCCCTCCTGTTTTTTCTTCTTTCCTCTTTTTTTTGTTAAATTTAGACAGAATCTCACTTAAGTTGTTGCCCAACCTGGACTCAAATGTGCAGTCCTCCTGCCCCAGCCTCCTGAGTACTGTAGCTGAGACTACTGGTGTGAGCCACTGTTCCTAGCCCTTATACTACTTCCATTAATGCAAATTATCTTTTGTTTGACATACTGTATACATTTTTATAGTCAGAATCATTTATATTCTGATCCTTTGCATCTAAAATATTTTCTGCAGTCATCTTTATGTTAATTTTTACTCATTTAAGAGTTGGGTGCTACTTTTTTTTTTTTTTTTTTTTTTTTTACTTTTTGAGGCAGAATCTTGCTACATAGTACAGGCTGGCCATAAACTCAAAATGTAGCCCAGACTGGCCTCAAACTCAGCAGTCCTCCTGCCTCAGCCTTTCCAGTGCTGAGATTACAGCTGTGAGCCACCATGCCTGGCCTTGTGGGTTACTGTTTTATTCTACTTTTGTTGGACAGTTTGTTGCAATGGCTTTTTATGTGTTTTCTCACTTTTGGTTGAACTATATTCTTAAGCTAAAAACCTGAAAGTTGAAATACTTCACCAGAGAAGATGTACTCTCTTAATACATATTACCATATTGTTTTCCAAAGTGTTATACCAATTTAAGATTGGAGGGTTTTGTGGGGGTTTTTTGTTTGTTTCTGTTTTTTGAAGCATGGTCATGCTGCTATGTAGTTCAGCCCGCCCTTGAATTTACTTTGTATCCCAGGCTGGCCTTGAACTCAAGGCAATCCTCCTACCTCATCCTCCCAAGTGCTGGGATTACAGGCATGTGCCGACCCACCTAGCTGGAGAAGTATTAAATAAAACTTTATGACAGAAAGTTTTATAACATAGAGTGAATATTACATAGATTAAAAGGATTTCTTTGATGAACTCCTTTATTTACTGATGAAGAAACCAAAGTCCAACAATGCAGTATAAAAACCTACCTCACACACCCATACTACTAGGGAATGAATCTAGGTGCTTTGCACTGAGCTACATACCCAGTCTTTTTTTTTTTTTTTTTTTTTTTTTTTGGTAGAACAGGATTTCACTAAATTGCTAAATTGCCTAGGCTGGGCTTGAATTTATAGTCCCCCCTACCTCAGCCTCCTGAGATTATAGGTGTGAACCATGACACCCACCAAGATAATGTAATTTAACAAAGATTACACAACTAGTTGTTAATAAAGTTTAGATTGGAACAAGTTCAAGTTCTCAAGACTTCTGGTCCCCAGTCCCTTTTGTCTTTTACACTTTAATGTGATGCATTTTCTACAAAAAGTAAATTGTGATGCCTTTAATGATACATTTAAATTTAACTCATAAACTGGTGTCTCTATTTTCTGGAGAGATTATGTGAAACTGTGTTATTTCTTCTTCAATTTTTTTTTTTTTTTTGGTTTTTCGCTGGTACCAGGAACCGAACTCACGACCTTGCGCTTGCCAGGCAGGCGCTTTGCCGCTGAGCTAAATCCCCAGCCCTCTTCTTTAAATATTTGATAAGGTTCCCCAGAGATATCATCTGAGCTTAGGCTTTTTTTGTGAGGAGATTTTATTTTTGTTTTTGTTTTGTTTTTCTGCCTTGGTTCTCCACCTTTGGGGGAAAAATGAGGTTAAATATATATAACATAAAATGTATCATTTACACTTTTCAAATGTACAGTTCATTGGCAGCTGAAAGCTTTCTTAAGCACATATTATTGATCTTATTATAAACATCTTAGTACATTTGTTTTGTTTTGTTTGTACTGGAAATTGAACCCGTGGAGCACAGAGCTGTATTGCAGCCCTCCCTTAACGTTACTTTTATTTTGAGACAGGGTCATGCTAAGTTGTTCAGACTGTCTTCGAACTTGGAGTTATCCTGCTTCAGCTCCCTGCATAGCTGGAATCACAGGCAAATGCCACCATGTCCGGCCATGATTGCTTTTTGTATATTGCTATTGTATATTGTAACTTTGCTGAAGGTGTTAGTGTTTGTTAGTAGTTTTTTTGCATATAGATTCCTCAGGATTTTGTACATATAGTCATGTGTTCTACAGTTTTGCTTCCTTTCAAATCTAAAAACCTTTAATTTCTTCTTTATCCTTTTTCCTCTTTATTGCACACGCTAGTGTTTCTAGTACAGTATTGACCAGAAGTGACAAGGAAGTGACATTTTTCTTTGCCTTGTTCCTGATCATAAGGCAAAAGCATTTCCCATTAAGGATGGTATAAGCTGTGTTTTTCATAAATGCGCTTTATCATTTCTTATTCTAGTTTCAGGACAGTTTTATTCATGAATTGTTTTATATTTTGTTATATTTATTGAGATGATCATATGGGGCTTATTTCTTACTCTGTTATCGTATATTAATAGATTATTGAATATCACGTCACCCTTGCATTCCTGCAATAAACCCCATTTGGTCATGGCATATAACCTTTCTTGTATGGTGCTGAATTTGGTTTGTTGGCATTTTGTTAAAGATTTTTCTGTCTATATTCATGAGGAATATTAGCCTATAATGTTATTATGTTTATAGTTTTGGTATCAGGGTAACAATGACTTCATTGAAGGAGCTTTTGAAATAGAATGAATCTATTTCCTGGAAAAGAGTGAAAGAATTATGTTATTTCTTATATTATTTACTTAAATGCATGATAGAATTCACAAGTAAAACCATTTTCTTTGTAGAGAGTTTTATTGTTGTTTTTCTTACTCTTTTTGGTTTTCCATTTTCCTCTTTGGCTCACTGCTTGGTTCCTTTTTTAAAAAACAGCTTTATCAAGATACAGTATACATATCATAAAGTTCACTTATTTAAAACACACAGTTTAATTTTCAGTATCAGTCATCTCCAGTATCCAGTTTTTTAGACTAGCATCATTGTGTTAGTAGTTGTTCCATATTCCTTTTGTCTTCCCCCTAGTAATCACTAGTCTGCTTTCCATTTCTACGTACTTGCCTATTCTAGACATTTCACACAATTTGTAACCAGTTGTGACTGGCAGCTTCCACTTAGCATAATGTTTCTGATGTTCATCCACATCCTAATACTGCTGAATATTATTCACTTGCGTTTTTTCTATGCATCAGTTAATATGCATTTGGGCTCTATCTGCTTACTGGTTTTTATAAATAATGCTGCGTGAATCTTTATGTACAAGTTTTGATGTGATGTATATTTTAATTTCTCTTTGGTTAATAACCTAGTGAAATTACTAGATCATAGTAACTCAGGTTCAACATTTTAAGA